CCTAACCCTAACCCTAACCCTAACCCCCTAACCCTAACCCTAACCCTAACCCTAACCCTAACCCTAACCCTAACCCTAACCCTAACCCTAACCCTAACCCTAACCCTAACCCTAACCCTAACCCTAACCCTAACCCTAACCCTAACCCTAACCCTAACCCTAACCCTAACCCTAACCCTAACCCTAACCCTAACCCTAACCCTAACCCTAACCCTAACCCTAACCCTAACCCTAACCCTAACCCTAACCCTAACCCTAACCCTAACCCTAACCCTAACCCTAACCCTAACCCTAACCCTAACCCTAACCCTAACCCTAACCCTAACCCTAACCCTAACCCTAACCCTAACCCTAACCCTAACCCTAACCCTAACCCTAACCCTAACCCTAACCCTAACCCTAACCCTAACCCTAACCCTAACCCTAACCCTAACCCTAACCCTAACCCTAACCCTAACCCTAACCCTAACCCTAACCCTAACCCTAACCCTAACCCTAACCCTAACCCTAACCCTAACCCTAACCCTAACCCTAACCCTAACCCTAACCCTAACCCTAACCCTAACCCTAACCCTAACCCTAACCCTAACCCTAACCCTAACCCTAACCCTAACCCTAACCCTAACCCTAACCCTAACCCTAACCCTAACCCTAACCCTAACCCTAACCCTAACCCTAACCCTAACCCTAACCCTAACCCTAACCCTAACCCTAACCCTAACCCTAACCCTAACCCTAACCCTAACCCTAACCCTAACCCTAACCCTAACCCTAACCCTAACCCTAACCCTAACCCTAACCCTAACCCTAACCCTAACCCTAACCCTAACCCTAACCCTAACCCTAACCCTAACCCTAACCCTAACCCTAACCCTAACCCTAACCCTAACCCTAACCCTAACCCTAACCCTAACCCTAACCCTAACCCTAACCCTAACCCTAACCCTAACCCTAACCCTAACCCTAACCCTAACCCTAACCCTAACCCTAAACCCTAACCCTAACCCTAACCCTAACCCTAACCCTAACCCTAACCCTAACCCTAACCCTAACCCTAACCCTAACCCTAACCCTAACCCTAACCCTAACCCTAACCCTAACCCTAACCCTAACCCTAACCCTAACCCTAACCCTAACCCTAACCCTAACCCTAACCCTAACCCTAACCCTAACCCTAACCCTAACCCTAACCCTAACCCTAACCCTAACCCTAACCCTAACCCTAACCCTAACCCTAACCCTAACCCTAACCCTAACCCTAACCCTAACCCTAACCCTAACCCTAACCCTAACCCTAACCCTAACCCTAACCCTAACCCTAACCCTAACCCTAACCCTAACCCTAACCCTAACCCTAACCCTAACCCTAACCCTAACCCTAACCCTAACCCTAACCCTAACCCTAACCCTAACCCTAACCCTAACCCTAACCCTAACCCTAACCCTAACCCTAACCCCTAACCCTAACCCTAACCCTAACCCTAACCCTAACCCTAACCCCTAACCCTAACCCTAACCCTAACCCTAACCCTAACCCTAACCCTAACCCTAACCCTAACCCTAACCCTAACCCTAACCCTAACCCTAACCCTAACCCTAACCCTAACCCTAACCCTAACCCTAACCCTAACCCTAACCCTAACCCTAACCCTAACCCTAACCCTAACCCTAACCCTAACCCTAACCCTAACCCTAACCCTAACCCTAACCCTAACCCTAACCCTAACCCTAACCCTAACCCTAACCCTAACCCTAACCCTAACCCTAACCCTAACCCTAACCCTAACCCTAACCCTAACCCTAACCCTAACCCTAACCCTAACCCTAACCCTAACCCTAACCCTAACCCTAACCCTAACCCTAACCCTAACCCTAACCCTAACCCTAACCCTAACCCTAACCCTAACCCTAACCCTAACCCTAACCCTAACCCTAACCCTAACCCTAACCCTAACCCTAACCCTAACCCTAACCCTAACCCTAACCCTAACCCTAACCCTAACCCTAACCCTAACCCTAACCCTAACCCTAACCCTAACCCTAACCCTAACCCTAACCCTAACCCTAACCCTAACCCTAACCCTAACCCTAACCCTAACCCTAACCCTAACCCTAACCCTAACCCTAACCCTAACCCTAACCCTAACCCTAACCCTAACCCTAACCCTAACCCTAACCCTAACCCTAACCCTAACCCTAACCCTAACCCTAACCCTAACCCTAACCCTAACCCTAACCCTAACCCTAACCCTAACCCTAACCCTAACCCTAACCCTAACCCTAACCCTAACCCTAACCCTAACCCTAACCCTAACCCTAACCCTAACCCTAACCCTAACCCTAACCCTAACCCTAACCCTAACCCTAACCCTAACCCTAACCCTAACCCTAACCCTAACCCTAACCCTAACCCTAACCCTAACCCTAACCCTAACCCTAACCCTAACCCTAACCCTAACCCTAACCCTAACCCTAACCCTAACCCTAACCCTAACCCTAACCCTAACCCTAACCCTAACCCTAACCCTAACCCTAACCCTAACCCTAACCCTAACCCTAACCCTAACCCTAACCCTAACCCTAACCCTAACCCTAACCCTAACCCTAACCCTAACCCTAACCCTAACCCTAACCCTAACCCTAACCCTAACCCTAACCCTAACCCTAACCCTAACCCTAACCCTAACCCTAACCCTAACCCTAACCCTAACCCTAACCCTAACCCTAACCCTAACCCTAACCCTAACCCTAACCCTAACCCTAACCCTAACCCTAACCCTAACCCTAACCCTAACCCTAACCCTAACCCTAACCCTAACCCTAACCCTAACCCTAACCCTAACCCTAACCCTAACCCTAACCCTAAACCCTAACCCTAACCCTAACCCTAACCCTAACCCTAACCCTAACCCTAACCCTAACCCTAACCCTAACCCTAACCCTAACCCTAACCCTAACCCTAACCCTAACCCTAACCCTAACCCTAACCCTAACCCTAACCCTAACCCTAACCCTAACCCTAACCCTAACCCTAACCCTAACCCTAACCCTAACCCTAACCCTAACCCTAACCCTAACCCTAACCCTAACCCTAACCCTAACCCTAACCCTAACCCTAACCCTAACCCTAACCCTAACCCTAACCCTAACCCTAACCCTAACCCTAACCCTAACCCTAACCCTAACCCTAACCCTAACCCTAACCCTAACCCTAACCCTAACCCTAACCCTAACCCTAACCCTAACCCTAACCCTAACCCTAACCCTAACCCTAACCCTAACCCTAACTAACCCTAACCCTAACCCTAACCCTAACCCTAACCCTAACCCTAACCCTAACCCTAACCCTAACCCTAACCCTAACCCTAACCCTAACCCTAACCCTAACCCTAACCCTAACCCTAACCCCTAACCCTAACCCTAACCCTAACCCTAACCCTAACCCCTAACCCTAACCCTAACCCTAACCCTAACCCTAACCCTAACCCTAACCCTAACCCTAACCCTAACCCTAACCCTAACCCTAACCCTAACCCTAACCCTAACCCTAACCCTAACCCTAACCCTAACCCTAACCCTAACCCTAACCCTAACCCTAACCCTAACCCTAACCCTAACCCTAACCCTAACCCTAACCCTAACCCTAACCCTAACCCTAACCCTAACCCTAACCCTAACCCTAACCCTAACCCTAACCCTAACCCTAACCCTAACCCTAACCCTAACCCTAACCCTAACCCTAACCCTAACCCTAACCCTAACCCTAACCCTAACCCTAACCCTAACCCTAACCCTAACCCTAACCCTAACCCTAACCCTAACCCTAACCCTAACCCTAACCCTAACCCTAACCCTAACCCTAACCCTAACCCTAACCCTAACCCTAACCCTAACCCTAACCCTAACCCTAACCCTAACCCTAACCCTAACCCTAACCCTAACCCTAACCCTAACCCTAACCCTAACCCTAACCCTAACCCTAACCCTAACCCTAACCCTAACCCTAACCCTAACCCTAACCCTAACCCTAACCCTAACCCTAACCCTAACCCTAACCCTAACCCTAACCCTAACCCTAACCCTAACCCTAACCCTAACCCTAACCCTAACCCTAACCCTAACCCTAACCCTAACCCTAACCCTAACCCTAACCCTAACCCTAACCCTAACCCTAACCCTAACCCTAACCCTAACCCTAACCCTAACCCTAACCCTAACCCTAACCCTAACCCTAACCCTAACCCTAACCCTAACCCTAACCCTAACCCTAACCCTAACCCTAACCCTAACCCTAACCCTAACCCTAACCCTAACCCTAACCCTAACCCTAACCCTAACCCTAACCCTAACCCTAACCCTAACCCTAACCCTAACCCTAACCCTAACCCTAACCCTAACCCTAACCCTAACCCTAACCCTAACCCTAACCCTAACCCTAACCCTAACCCTAACCCTAACCCTAACCCTAACCCTAACCCTAACCCTAACCCTAACCCTAACCCTAACCCTAACCCTAACCCTAACCCTAACCCTAACCCTAACCCTAACCCTAACCCTAACCCTAACCCTAACCCTAACCCTAACCCTAACCCTAACCCTAACCCTAACCCTAACCCTAACCCTAACCCTAACCCTAACCCTAACCCTAACCCTAACCCTAACCCTAACCCTAACCCTAACCCTAACCCTAACCCTAACCCTAACCCTAACCCTAACCCTAACCCTAACCCTAACCCTAACCCTAACCCTAACCCTAACCCTAACCCTAACCCTAACCCTAACCCTAACCCTAACCCTAACCCTAACCCTAACCCTAACCCTAACCCTAACCCTAACCCTAACCCTAACCCTAACCCTAACCCTAACCCTAACCCTAACCCTAACCCTAACCCTAACCCTAACCCTAACCCTAACCCTAACCCTAACCCTAACCCTAACCCTAACCCTAACCCTAACCCTAACCCTAACCCTAACCCTAACCCTAACCCTAACCCTAACCCTAACCCTAACCCTAACCCTAACCCTAACCCTAACCCTAACCCTAACCCTAACCCTAACCCTAACCCTAACCCTAACCCCTAACCCTAACCCTAACCCTAACCCTAACCCTAACCCTAACCCTAACCCTAACCCTAACCCTAACCCTAACCCTAACCCTAACCCTAACCCTAACCCTAACCCTAACCCTAACCCTAACCCTAACCCTAACCCTAACCCTAACCCTAACCCTAACCCTAACCCTAACCCTAACCCTAACCCTAACCCTAACCCTAACCCTAACCCTAACCCTAACCCTAACCCTAACCCTAACCCTAACCCTAACCCTAACCCTAACCCTAACCCTAACCCTAACCCTAACCCTAACCCTAACCCTAACCCTAACCCTAACCCTAACCCTAACCCTAACCCTAACCCTAACCCTAACCCTAACCCTAACCCTAACCCTAACCCTAACCCTAACCCTAACCCTAACCCTAACCCTAACCCTAACCCTAACCCTAACCCTAACCCTAACCCCTAACCCTAACCCTAACCCTAACCCTAACCCTAACCCTAACCCTAACCCTAACCCTAACCCTAACCCTAACCCTAACCCTAACCCTAACCCTAACCCTAACCCTAACCCTAACCCTAACCCTAACCCTAACCCTAACCCTAACCCTAACCCTAACCCTAACCCTAACCCTAACCCTAACCCTAACCCTAACCCTAACCCTAACCCTAACCCTAACCCTAACCCTAACCCCTAACCCTAACCCTAACCCTAACCCTAACCCTAACCTCACTTAACCCTAGCCCTAACCATCGCGCTAACCCTAACCCTAACCTTAGCGCTTGCCATAACCCCAATCGTGGCCCTAACCCTAACCCTAACCCTACCTTGGATACTAACCCTAACCGTAATACTGACCCTAACCCTAACCCTAGGGGTCACTTGAAGCCTAACCTCAGGATCTAACCCTAACCTCGGATACTAGCCCTGACCCTAATACTGACCCTAACCCTAACCCTAGGGGTCACTTGAAGCCTAACCTCAGGATCTAACCCTAACCTCGGATACTAGCCCTGACCCTAATACTGACCCTAACCCTAACCCTAGGGGGTCACTTGAAGCCTAACCTCAGCATTAAGATAAATATATCATGTATTAAAAAACAATCAGCGTCTAAAGGGTTAACATAAGATAAATATATCATGCATTAAAAAACAATCAGCGTCTAAAGGGTTAACATTCAGAAACTAAATAGAGTACAAAATAACACAAATTATTTAAGAAAATTCAGTAAATTATTTCTCCAAGGGTATAAAAGGGAGAGGGGAACAGGGATAACTTCATTTTTATTTGGCTGCCTGCTGGGTACACACCCCTATGAATTGGGGCCCAGCAGCCATTCTTTTTTGTGCGCATGACCTGATGAAGACCCAAGTAGGGTCGAAACGTCGTCGACGCGCACAATGTATGTACATAGTTCCTGTGTGATCATGTATTGTTTGTTTGTTTGTTTGTTTGTTTGTGTGTTGTGTATATAAAAAACAAAAAAATCCTAAAAAACTGGAAATTATTTAAAAACAAAAACAAAAAATCCTAAAAAAATGGAAACTATTTAAAAACAATAACGCAACACATTAAAACCAAGTCAACAACAACATTTATTAAGCACAAGTCGTGTTTCCTGTGGGACCGGGGGAGCGTGTCCGGTGGGCGAAGGACCGTGCATTCCCCGCTCCCCGCCGCCCAAGTAGGGCAACTTAGGGGAGACGGGATACTTACCCAAAAACCTAACCCCTAACCCTAACCCTAACCCTAACCCCTAACCCTAACCCCTAACCCTAACCCTAACCCTAACCCTAACCCCTAACCCTAACCCTAACCCTAACCCCTAACCCCTAACCCTAACCCTAACCCTAACCCCTAACCCTAACCCTAACCCTGGCCCTAACCCTAAGCCTAACCCTAGCCTCGGATTTGAACCCTAACCCTAACACTGACCCTAACCCTAACCCTAGGTCAGTCTAAGCCTAAACACAGGTAAAGGATAAATATATCATTTAATTAAAAACCAAACAGCAGTTAAAGGGTTAACTTTTCTCAAACTAAATACAGTTGAAAATAACCAAAAATATCCGAGAAATTAAGTCTAATTATTGCTCCAAGGATATAAAAGGGAAAAGGGGACAGGAAATTCTCATTTTATTTTGGCTGCTTGCTGGGATAACCCCTATGAATTGGGGCCCAGCAGCCATTTATTTTATGTGTGCATAAGACCTGATGAAGACCCAAGCAGGGTCGAAACGTCGTCGCGATGCACACCACCTGTACATAGTTCATGTGTCGATCATGTACCTTTTGTTTGTTTGTTTGTGTGTTTGTGTGTCCAAAAACAATCAAAAACCTGAAAAAAAGAGATTAATGAAATAACAATCATGTAACACAACACACTAAAACCAAATCAAATACAAACCTTAAACACAAATTAGTGATCCATGGGGGCCGGGGGAGCGTGTCCAGTGGGCGAAGGACCGTGCATTCCCCGCTCCCCACAGGGTCAACCTAGAGGGAGACGGGATTCATTCCCCTAAACCTAACCCTAACCCTAACCCCTAACCCTAACCCTAACCCTAACCCCTAACCCTAACCCTAACCCTAACCCTAACCCTAACCCCTAACCCTAACCCTAACCCTAACCCTAACCCTAGTATGGGATTCTAACCCTAACCTGGGACTCGCCCTAACCCTAACCATTAGAGGCAACTTAATGACCAACGGCCAAGCAGGCCACAGAGGTCAAAGGTCAAGCAGGACCCTAACCCTAATATTGGGATCAAAAATACCTATTAATTTGTTTATTAAAAGCACAAATATGTGAATAAACATAATTAATATGGATTTAAAGCACAAGCGGTGCAGAAAGGGTTAAGATTTCAAAAACTAAATAGAGTAGAAAATAACTTAAATACAAGTAAATTCAGTCTAATTTTTGGCGGAGGGGATATAAAAGGGAGACAAGTTGGTAGGGCTTTTCATTTCTTTCTGGCTGCTGGCTGGTCCACCCCTATGAATTGGGGCCCAGCAGCCTTAGCTGTTACATGTGCCCAGTCCTGAAGAAGACCAAATTAGGTCGAAACGTCGACGCAGCAGGCACATTGTAGGGATACATAGATCAAATATAGATCATGTATGAATTGTGTATGTGTGAGTAAGTCAAATAGGACTACATGAACTTCATTACAAATTAATACACACCAGACCAAATACGGTTCAGCTGGCGGAAGTAGCCGCCAGCCTTTCGGGACCTGGGGAGCGTGTCCGACGGGGCGTAGGCCCGTGCATTCCCCGCTCCCCGCCGACCCAAGTAGGGCAATTTAGGGGAGACGGGATTATTTCCCCAACCTATCCAGCCAGTGCCACGTCCACTGTCGCCGCGTTTCCTGGGTCCCGACCTGCAAAAAATCAGCCGACTCGCAGTCCGGGCGGCTGCTGATGATAACCCCAGCCTGGCATCTAGCCCTAACCCTAACCATGGCGCTCACCCTAACCCTAACCATAGCGCTGACCCCTAACCCTAACCCCAGCACTAACCCCAACCTGGGAATCTAACCCTAACCCTAACCCTAGTATGGGATTCTAACCCTAACCTGGGACTCGCCCTAACCCTAACCATTAGAGGCAACTTAATGACCAACGGCCAAGCAGGCCACAGAGGTCAAAGGTCAAGCAGGACCCTAACCCTAATATTGGGATCAAAAATACCTATTAATTTGTTTATTAAAAGCACAAATATGTGAATAAACATAATTAATATGGATTTAAAGCACAAGCGGTGCAGAAAGGGTTAAGATTTCAAAAACTAAATAGAGTAGAAAATAACTTAAATACAAGTAAATTCAGTCTAATTTTTGGCGGAGGGGATATAAAAGGGAGACAAGTTGGTAGGGCTTTTCATTTCTTTCTGGCTGCTGGCTGGTCCACCCCTATGAATTGGGGCCCAGCAGCCTTAGCTGTTACATGTGCCCAGTCCTGAAGAAGACCAAATTAGGTCGAAACGTCGACGCAGCAGGCACATTGTAGGGATACATAGATCAAATATAGATCATGTATGAATTGTGTATGTGTGAGTAAGTCAAATAGGACTACATGAACTTCATTACAAATTAATACACACCAGACCAAATACGGTTCAGCTGGCGGAAGTAGCCGCCAGCCTTTCGGGACCTGGGGAGCGTGTCCGACGGGGCGTAGGCCCGTGCATTCCCCGCTCCCCGCCGACCCAAGTAGGGCAATTTAGGGGAGACGGGATTATTTCCCCAACCTAACCCCTAACCCTAACCCTAACCCTAACCCTAACCCTAACCCTAACCCTAACCCTAACCCTAACCCTAACCCTAACCCTAACCCTAGCCCTAACCCTAACCCTAACCCTAACCCTAGCCCTAACCCTAACCCTAACCCTAACCCCTAACCCTAACCCTAGCCCCTAGGGACTAACATTTAGGGTTAGGATTAGGGTTATGGTTAGGTCTAGGGTTAGGGTTAGGGGTCAGGGTTGGGTTTAGGGTTAGGGTTAGGATTAGGGTTAGGTTTAGGTTTAGGTCTAGGGTTAGGGTTAGGGTTAGGTCTAGGGTTAGGGTTAGGCCTAGGGTTAGGGTTAGGGTTGGGGTTAGGGTTAGGGTTTGGTTTAGGTCTAGGGTTAGGGTTAGGGTCAGGGTTTAGTTTAGGTCTAGGGTTAGGGGTTAGGGTTTAGGGTTAGGCCTAGGGTTAGGTCTAGGGTTAGGGTTTGGTTTAGGACTAGGGTTAGGGTTAGGATTAGGGTTTGGTTTAGGTCTAGGGTGAGTGTAAGTGCTAGGGGTTAGGGTTTAGGGTTTGGGGTTAGGGTTAGGGCTGGGGTTAGGGGTCAGGGTTGGGTTTAGGGTTAGGGTTAGGTTTAGGTCTAGGGTTAGGGTTAGGCCTAGGGTTAGGGTTAGGTCTAGGGTTAGGGGTTAGGGTTGGAGTTAGGGTTAGGTCTAGGGTTAGGGTTAGGGGTTAGGGTTAGGGTTAGGGTTTAGTTTAGGTCTAGGGTTAGGGTTAGGGTTAGGGGTTAGGGTTTAGGGTTAGGGTTAGGGTTTGGCTTAGGGTTAGGGTTTGGTTTAGGGCTAGGGTTAGGGTTAGGATTAGGGTTTGGTTTAGGTCTAGGGTGAGTGTAAGTGCTAGGGGTTAGGGTTTAGGGTTTGGGGTTAGGGTTAGGGCTGGGGTTTGGTTTAGGTCTAGGGTTAGGCTTTGGGTTACACACTGGGTTAGGATTATAATTAAACCCAAGGTTAGTGTAATGACCAGACCTAGGGGTTTTTTAAGAACTAGGGTGAGTGTCAGATAGTTTTAGAACTTCAGACTTTGGGTCTGAAATTTTAAATGTCAGTGGTTAAACATATTTTCAATAACAACCTTAGATAGTAGTTTCAAACACTACGGTTAGGGTTAGGGTTAGGGTTAATATTAGAGCTGGGTTAGGGTTACACCTAGGGTTCGAGTTAGGGCTAGGGTTAGGGTTAAACCCAGGGTTAGGATTAGGGCTATAACTTTTGTTAGGGTTAGGGTAAGAGTTAGACCTACTGTTGGGGTAAGAACTAGAGTTAGGGTTAGACACAGGGTAAAGGCCAGACCTAGGGTTTAGATTAGGTTGAAACGTAGGGTTGGGGTTGGATCAATTTTAGATTTTGGGGCACACATTTCAAATGTTAGTTGTAAGAAAGATTCCAAATTACGAGCTTTGAGATATTATCTTCAAATAATACGTTTATAAAAGATTCCAATCTTTAATTTTGAATTTAAATTTTTTAGAGAAATGACCCTGGTTTCTGTCTAAGGGTTAAAGTTACGGTAACCACTTTTAAAAATGTGAGAGGCAGAGCACGGCGTTGGTGGTTATCTCCGCCCTGGTTTCTGAGCTACTTCCCACCATGAATTAGCACAGCAGAAAGCGTCTTTGTACACTTTCAGGAGGACATTGTACAGGTGGGGATAGCAGCATACTTAACAGGTGTTATGCCGTAGAATGCACCCCCTGCATCCCCTCCACTTGTTAGCTTCTTAAAGATGGCTCCGCGCCCCCCTGGGGGGGCGGGCCACACACTTTGAGAAATGCTGCCTTAAGCCTAACCTCAGGTTAAACATAAATATATTATTTTGGATTAATAAGAATCAGCAGTTAAAGGGTTAACATTTTCAAATTAAATAGAGTAGAAAATAACATAAAATATCCGAGAAATTCAGTTAATTATTTGTTAAAAGGTATAAAAGGTGAGAAGGGAACAGGGACATTTCTTCTTTTTTTAGCTGCTGTCAACACCTATGAATTGGTGCCCAGCAGCCCTTTCTTATGTGTGCACAGACCTGAAGAAGACCCAAGTCGGGTCGAAACTTAGAGGGAGATGGGAGTCATTCCCCAATCCTAACCCTAACACAGGAGCACTCCGAGAAGCTAACCCTCAAACGACAGGAAATGGCCTGAAACGTGCTCACAACCCATTTTCAACATTTCCAGACAAAGTAGAACACTTGGAAACACTGACTTTGGCCATTTTCTGCTCCCATTCATTTTCAATGGGAAATTTCCATTTCGCCATAACTTTTGATAGGAATGTCCGATCGCTGGTTCATTAGTATTTATAGATTCAGCATACCCGAAAATGGGGGGGTAGACCAAATCTCAGCCCGGTTCATCAATGGGAAAGGCAATGAACCGGCATGTCAAAAGTGGCACATACCCCTATATCATCATCATCATCATCATCATCATCATCATCCTTTAAATACTAATAATCTATTTTTAATTTATTGTTTATTAAATTTTATAGCATGCTTAAAATAGTACAAATTTTAAATTAACTGGGGATCATTATTTTCAAGAACTAAAGCAGATATGCAGCCTCGGCCCAAACATAAAGCAGGAGGCGAAACCCTGTTTCCCGCGTCCAAAGCATACACTGAAGCATTGAGCTATATGACTGAGCAGTAAAATGTGTATTGTAAAATGTATTTTGTGTTTCACAAAAGGTGTTTTCAAAAGGTTTTTGTGTTTTACACTTAAGGGACACCGTAATACTATGACTTTTTTTTTTCAAAATTTGATATCTTATTACACTTTATCATGACATTTTTATCATAATATGCATTTTGACATTTTTTTTCAAACTGTACTGTAATTTTTTATCATGCATTACTTTGATTTTTTTTATTATACTATACAATTACCTTTTTTCCTTCTGTCATACAATATTTTTTATCATATTATACCATGATAATTTTCACATACTATATACTATCGTATTTTATAATAATTATTGTTTTTAAAAGACTATAAAGGGACACTTTTTCAAACTAAAACATATTTTTTTACATACTGTACTCTGACATTTTAACACACTTACTATGGAATTTTATTATACTATTCTGACATTTTTTTCATACTATACTTGTTTTATTTTACTGTTCTAATATTTTTTAATCAAACAATACTTTGACATTTAACATATGATACCGTGGATTTTTTTGTCAGACTGGTGGACCGAATTTCTTTAGATTTCAGATGAACATGAATTCCTCAAACATTAACCCCCCCATGATAATGTTTCTCAGCTGCGCCCCCTGCTGGATGAGAGCAGGGGTGTTTGGCGAGGGAAGTGCCACCGTGTCCACAGAGGGTTAGTGAGTGTTACCTGGCTGTTACCTGAGCTCGTGGACTCTGGTCGTGTACTGTAAACCGTGTTCAGTGTTTTAGCTGAAGGATTTTCTCTGCTCTGAAGACTCGCTGTGAGAAAAACCTTCATCCTGGATCATCGGGGCGGCAGCAGGAAGAAGAAGATAGAGGACTTCTCTCGGTCTTCACGGGAAAAACTCGTCCAATCTAAGAACAAAATGTTCTCCAAATTCACGTCCATCCTGCAGCACGCTGTAGAAGCGGTGAGTTTCAGTGTGAGAGAGTAAATTCAGGTTTAAATCATCAGTTTAAACAGATCTGATCCGGTTTTAAAGGTCCGTTTAAAGGCCTCAGATTAGCTCAGGCTAACAGCTGCTAACGTGTTTTTCTCTGTGTGTTAGTGCTTGATAAATGTTACCTGAGGTTACCTGTGTTTGTCTTTGAGGACACCTGAAATAACAACACACTGTCATCGTGTTTGTGTGTTTAGAAACGGTTTATTTTGAAGGTTTGCTAGGTAAGGCAAGCTATTGTTAGCCGAGTTAGCTAGCTTATTAGCATTAGCCAGTTAGGGTAAAACTGCAGGTTTGAGAAAAGCTGTGAAAAAATCATGAAAATATGAACTAATCCACTCTGTACTGTTTAATGTGGTCTAATATTTTCCTCTGAAACTGTAAACATAAACAGTCTGTGAGTGAACGAGCCCAGTTAGCTTAGCTCAGGCAGGCTAGCTTCGAACCTGCAGCTAACCCTGAAACCTGGTCCAATCAAAATACAAACTCCAGACATGTAAACAGATAAAACTACAAACCCCAGACAGGTAAACAGTTAAAACTACAAACTCCGGACATGGAGTCCAGGCAGTCCAGGTCCAAAGAGGGGACTTTACTGACAGCACTGGATCCAAAGCCTTGAGCTCAGATCTGTCGCTGGTGTTTGGAAATCCAGGCTCTGATGTCTCTGAGACCGTTTAAGTCTCTAGTGAACTCTTGTCTTTGCAGGTAGATCGAATAATTATCCTCATGTGGGTGAAAAAAGTTCAAAGGTGGGAGGTACTGGAAAAAAGGTTTTGGTCCAAGAATAAAGCCCTGCAGGACTCCACATGAAGCAACTGATGAAACAGAAGATCAGAGCTGAAGGTCGTTCCTCAGGTGACTCTGATTAAACTGTGAAATATTAACATCTGTGTGTTTCTGTCCAGCTGGCCCCGTCTCTGCCCCTACAGGAGGACTTTGTCTATCATTGGAAGGCCATCACACATTACTACATCGAGACCTCAGGTAAGACAAACAGGCACACAGCTCCTCCTGAAGGTTCCTGAGTGAACCCCAAACAGCTGAAGTTTACACCCGACTCCACCGCCGACATTGACGATAACTGATCGACTTATGCCGACAAAGGTCAGCGCCGATAACCAGAGATCAGGTCAGCTGGATGTGCTCGGTCATTTTGAGTAATCTGGTGTCCGATTTTACAACAGAAGCAGGTTCAAAATAAGAAACGGACATAAATTATGGAGAGGGCTGTGATGTAATCTGACTGTGTTACCAGAACGCTCATTAAACATGTTTTTATTTCATTTATTTTTATTAAAAAAACAGAAACTTTTCCACTGTCCTTCCACTCGATTACGTTTCACTGCCTCTTGTATTTCGAATTATTTACCAAACCCACAAACCGTTTCTTGAACCAGTCACATGGTGCCGCCGGCTCATGACATCCGTCATCAGCACAAACTTCGATTCGCACGTCACGGAAATTTTCCGCAATTACTCGGCTCACGATCCAAAACCTCGACGCCGAAGGACACATCAGTAATGACGACTCAGCAGATTCAGAGCAACTGTTAAAATTTTCTCCAAAGTCATAAAATGAAAAATCTAAACCTCTCAGCATCAGGCAGCTTCAGGTTTCCCCAGGATTTAGAAACATAAACTCTTCAGATATTTTCACTGGAGATGTTGATGATCGTGTTCACGGTGTATCAGGTTCTTCTTCTTCTTCTTCTTCATGAGTAACGGCTCAGTAAAAGTCTCATCACGTGAAGAACTCTGTGAAGCTGCTTCAGTCTGGTCAGATCAGAGTCGTGATAAACACCTCGTTTAAAGAATCTGCCTCCTTCTCCTGAACTGCTGGTTCAGCTTCTTCTCACCAGTTTACCCAGTTATTCCAGTTTAACAGACTCTCTCTGAATCTGTTTCTCTGAATCTGTTTCTCTCTCAGAGCGTCTGATCAGGGAACGTCTGAGAAAATGTCCCAAACTTCAAAAAATTCAAACAGGAACTTGATAAATCGGCTTCAGATGAAGGTTTTCCTGTAATAACTCTCCTCTCTGTCTAAAATGTTTCATCACAGATGAATCAGTTCTTAATGTCGGTCTCTGTGGTTCACCGTCTTCTGCACCAGTCTGTGCTTTAAAGGACCAGATTCATATAGAAGCTGCACAGTAATTCAGTTCAATAAAGCACGGCACAGCTGGAAACAAATGTTCTTTGAGTTTCAACTAAACATGTAAAAACTGCTCCTGATGTAAACCTGAAGTTTTCCACCTGCTGCACAGAGGAAAGAGAGTTTGGACTCGTTTCTGGTTTCCCTCTTTAGATGACAAAGCTCCGGTCACAGACACAAACATCCCGTCACACCTGGAACAGATGCTGGACATCCTGACCCAGGAGGAGGCTGAGCGGGAGTCAGGAGAGACCGGGCCCTGCATGGAGTACCTTCTGCATCACAAGATCCTGGAGACGCTCTACACGCTGGGCAAGGCTGATGTAAGAGTTGATGTGGTTAGACTATCTGAGGGACGTCTCCACGGAAACATGCAGGACATGACGGCCCTGTGTTTGTTTTAGTGTGAAGTCTGAGGAGAAACTCTGATCTGATCTACACTTTTGTCCTCAGGAGTAAAATCTTGTCCTTCTGTCGTCTCTCCTCAGTGTCCTCCCGGCATGAAGCAGCAGGTGCTCACCTTCTACACAAAGCTGCTCGCACACATTCGTCAGCCTCTCCTGCCCCACATCAACGTCCACAGACCTGTACAGGTGAGACAGGTGACGGTGTTTCGATGTTTCTCCGTGTGGTCAGTCGATGGTCGTTTTACTGACCGGGTCAACTCTTTCTGTCAGAAACTGATCCGGCTGTGTGGGGAGGTGCTGGCTGCTCCGACAGAAAACGAGGAGATCCAGTTTCTCTGTATCGTCTGTGCCAAACTGAAGCAGGACCCGTACCTCGTCAACTTCTTTCTGGAGGTGAGCGTCTTTGACCCCGACAGGAAACACAGCGAGCAGCTGTCAAAGGAAGTAAAGGCGTAAACTATGAGGAGAAAATCTTTGATTTTGTTCTTTACAGAATAAATCGAAACGACCGGAGAGCAAGAGTCCAGGAGGAGCAGAGCTGCTGAAGGAGAACGTTTTGACTCCAGATACTGGTCAGCCTCCATCTGAGGAGCAAACAGAGGAGCTGCTGGCTACAGCCGCCGCCGCCGCCGCCAGTCCAACCAACAACAATAACAACAACAACTACAATCTGGTCTCCTCCCTGCTGAACCTCACAAAGAGCCCCGTAAGTTACCGACCAGGTGGAAAGTTTAACAGCTGGAGGAACGCCTCCATCAGGTCAGTCACATGACCGCGTCTAAAAAGGACTTTAATATGGAATCAGATTAGTGTCAAAAATCATCAAACAAAACTTGAATAAGAATTTAAGAGAAGGAAAGGAACGGTCATCTCCGAAGTCAAACTCGTGTCACCTGCTGCTCTTTTATTGACTGTTTCCTGTTTCTTTCTCTCCGTCAGGTTCGCAGTTACGCCGCTGCTCTCTCTTTGCGCTCTCGAGTTTTTGTTTGTGATTCTTCACTCATTTAAGAAGTTTTGTTTGATTATTTTTGACACAAATCTGTTTCCATACTTTCAGAGCGGCTGAATCTCTTTTCAAAAACTGTGAACTCAGTTCATCACTGCGTCCACTAATGAGGTTAAATCCAGCATCTCTGATAGTCTGAGGATCAGCAGAGTCCATGTCATCTGTGAAGGCTTCATTAATGCTGAACTAGATCTCCAGGTTTAGGAGAAACATCTGCGTCCATCCAGACAAAGACTTTTTCAGAGAAGACCTCCTCATGATCCCAAACCTCGTCCTGTAATCCTGTAAGTCTTTCTGTTTTTGCAGGTTGTAGTTTTGAGTTTAATGAACTTTTCTCTCCTTGGATTTCAGGATGGGAGGATCGTGGTGAAGGCGTGCGAGGGTCTGATGCTGCTGGTCAGTCTACCGGAGCCTGCAGCTGCCAAGTGTTTAACGGAGAACACAGAGCTGTGTGACCTCCTGACCGACAGGCTGGTCTCGTTTTACAGAGCTCTGCCTCAGTCCATGGACCCTCTGGACATCGAGACCGTGGAGTCGGTCAACTGGGGGTAGATCTTTATCTTCTTTTCAATGACGGGTGTTTCTCCAAGTTTCATCCCACCCTGAATCTTCTCGTCTTTGTTTGATTTCAGTCTGGACGTGTATAACCTGAAGGAGGACGCTGCGGTCTTTACTGGGAAGCGCGCTCTCATCTCCTTCCTGTCTTGGCTCGATTACTGCGACCAGCTCATCAAAGAGGCTCAGAGGGTCTGTAACGCTGACGACCATCTTATAGTTATCAGAAGAAAACAGACGCTCTCCAAACTTTCTCAGCATCTGAAGCTTACGGGCTGAACGCCGTTGTTCTTTTTCTCTTTCAGTCGGCAGCTGCAGTGATGGCGAAAGCCGTGAGAGAGCGATTCTTTGTGTCTGTGATGGAGCCTCAACTCATGCAGACGTGAGTCCTGCCTGAATCACCCGTCACTCATCCTCTGTTCACAGATCTGCTGCTGTCTCAGAGCGTCACCGCAGACCCATCATAAAAAGTTTCACACTTTGGTAACTCCACCGGAGAAAAAAACATCTGCTGTCAGTTTGGTACTCGATTAAAAACTGAGAGAGAGAGAGAGAGAGGGAGGGAGAGAGAGAGAGAGAGAGAGAGAGAGAGAGAGAGAGAGAGAGAGAGAGAGAGAGAGAGAGAGAGAGAGAGAGAGAGAGAGAGAGAGAGAGAGAGAGAGAGAGAGAGAGAGAGAGAGAGAGAGAGAGAGAGAGAGAGAGAGAGAGAGAGAGAGGGAGAGAGAGAGAGGGAGAGAGAGAGAGAGAGAGAGAGAGAGAGAGAGAGAGAGAGAGAGAGAGAGAGAGAGAGAGAGAGAGAGAGAGAGAGAGAGAGAGAGAGAGAGAGAGAGAGAGAGAGAGAGGGAGGGAGAGAGAGAGAGAGAGAGAGAGAGAGGGAGAGAGAGAGAGAGAGAGAGAGAGAGAGAGAGAGAGAGAGAGAGAGGGAGAGAGAGGGAGAGGGAGGGAGAGGGAGGGAGAGAGAGAGAGAGAGGGAGGGAGAGAGAGAGAGGGAGAGAGAGGGAGGGAGAGAGAGAGAGAGAGGGAGGGAGAGAGAGAGGGAGAGAGAGAGGGAGAGAGAGAGAGAGAGAGCAAGAGAGAGAGAGAGAGAGAGACAGAGAGGGAGGTAGAGAGTTAGATTTTTTCAAAGAGTCTAAATCGACTGTTTTTATATTTGAAGATAAACTCGATCAGAGCGACACTCACTGCGGACCATAACGCTGATTTTCTGTGTGTCAGAATCTCATGATCTTGTTTCTCGTCCTGGGTTCATGTCTTTGAGCAGAACCTCCGATAAGTCTATTTTTGATCATCGCTGTTTTTATCGGAGTGACTCTGATCGTTTAACGCCGGCGTCTTTTATACCTGGTGTTGTCGTCGCCCTGCTGCGCTGTAAACTCTGTTTTGTGGTTGTTGGCTCACACAGGTCGGAGGTCGGCATCCTGACCTCCACAGCTCTGCTGAACAGGATCATCCGGCAGGTGACATCGGACGCTCTGCTGCAGGAGATGATTTACTTCCTGCTGGGCGAGGACAGAGAGGCAGAGACGGCGGCGAGCATCGGTCAGAACCCGCTCAGACACCGATTGATCGAGCACTGTGACCACCTGTCAGACGAGGTACATCAGACAGATCATCGGCTGATCCCTCCGTAGTCTCTCCTTTAAACAAAGAAGCGTCTGTCTGTCCTTCAGCGATCGACAGTCAGGATGGATCATGTGACTCAGTGAAGAAATAAAGATGTTGATAGCTCAGAGATGAGTCATTGGCGTTTGAACGAACTCTCTGTCTTCCTCCTGTGTCCTCAGATCAGCATCATGACTCTGCGACTGTTCGAGCAGCTCATCCAGAAACCAAACCAGCACATCCTGCACAGCCTGGTGCTGCGCGGCCTGGAGGAGAGGAACTACCTGGAGAACAAGCCACAGGAGGAGCGGGAGCCCCTGGAGAACGGGCAGCCTCATGATGCTGTGTAAGGGCCCGCCCCTGACCTTTGACAATCATCCGGTTAAATAAAGTGAATTTATCTGCAGGCTGTGTTGGTTTTGATGAGGAGCTGACTCTTCTCCTCACAGTTTCAGCTGAAAGATCATTGAAAGTTGGAGGAACCAGGAGAATGAGTGTAAAATAAGAGATAAAGAAGTTGATGAACTGACCTCAGGTCAGAGTGGTGCTGCAGTTTTTCCTTCAAAATAATCTGTGAGAGGAGCGGCTGTGAACAGGTGAGTCCTTCACCTGCGTTAGAAGAGTTCAGAGCGTCTCCGTGTTCTAAGGACAGAAGGCTGATCTGGTCCATGACCTGAGCAGTCCAGATGGTTTATGAAGAACTAGATCACTCATTTATTTTGGGCCTAAACTCCGACGGATTTCAGCTTCGGTTAGTTGTTGACGACTTCAGTCTGAAGCTGCCGGCCGACTCGTTCCTCTTTGACTCCAGAAACAACGTCCTCAGGAGGAAAGTATGAGACCGCGGTCACCTGGAGACACGGTCACCTGGAGACACGGTCACCTGGAGACACGGTCACCTGGAGACACGGTCATATGTAACTGTGTCTCACCTGTGTAGTGTTTGTCTTTATCTGAGCTGATGTGTTAAACTAAAGGGGCCCCAGGATGGTGCCTTGGGGACCTCCACATGTCTTTTTTCTAAAGTTGATCTTCAAAAGTCTCGGTTCTTTTAAAGTCCTAAACCAGTTCAGTGCCGAGTCACTGTGTCAGAAAGTCCCGCTCGTTTGCCGTCAGTCGAGTCGTTTGTTGGAGGATGAATTTGTTGTTTGTTGGTCACGATCGCAGCGAAACAAACTCTGTAACTAATAAAGTTTGAATCATCATGTTGAAATCGAACTTCTCATCCTCCTCAGCTTCAGAAGCTGAAACGTTTGAACAAGTTAAACCTCAGAGTTTCATTGACTAAAGGTCCTTACACACCAGCCGCGAATTATTCGCCATTTTTAAAAACAGCATAAAGTCAATACAAGCTTCCACACCGGCGGCGATTTTTCCGCGGGGCGAAAAGCGTCTTTTATTTTTTTGCTCTTGTGTCGAATTTTTCGGAGATTTGCAGGCGAATATCTGGACCTAATAGACCTCTGGCCAATCAAAAGTCATGTTGTTGATGATCTTCATTTATCAAGCACGCTATGGCAAACCCATCAGCTCCTCTTGGAGACGAGTGAGCTATAGATGAACTATTATGTGCTTATTATAACGGGGCTGGGGGCCCGGAGCTTCCAAGAAAACGGGACTTTGTCTCATTCATGTAGAAAAGTGTCGATTATCGTAATCTGACCTCAGACGTGTGGCTCGCCGCTCCTCTGGACCAATCAGCTCTCTGTAGTTAGTTGTCTGCTTCTCCAGCCGTGGGGTCAGCTGCTGGAGGAGGTCGTTAAATCGCCCGCGGGACATTCTGAAATACTGGCGGGATTTTGGGGGGTAGAACTTCGCTTTGCAAAATTTATACGCATATTCGCTTGGCACCCGGTGTGTATAGGCGAAAGCGATTTTTGGACCGGTGAATATTTTCGCATTTACGTCTCGCTTTTTCGCTTCTCTGTGTAAGGACCTTAAGTCTGAATGAAAAGGAGTGTCTGAATGCGGCGCTGCTCCTCCCTGACGGTTTGACTCCATCATTTTTAGCAGCGGTTGAGTTTCCAGGAAAGCTGGACGTCAGGATAATGATGCTGTTTGAGTATTTCTGAGCAGATGTTTTCTTTCTGAATCTGTGTGAGTCAGAAAAACTGAAAAACCTTTTAAAATGTTGATTTTTCATCCAGATTCACTGACAGACTGTGAAAACAGGAGCAGAGTTAACACCTTCGATCCCCTGATCAATAAATCTACATGTTTGATCATATTTGTGTTTGTCCCTCAGAGACCTGGAGGAGGATCCTCTGTTCGGTGATGATGTCTCTCCAGACAGCAGGCTGTCCTCCGATTGGCTGAGCTCGTCTCCTCCTCAGAGTCCTGATCACTCAAAGCCCGACGGGAAGACAGAAGTCCACAAGATCGTCAACAGGTGAGCGGTCTGTTCGCACTGAGTGGGCGGAGCATACCTGTGAGACTCCAGGTAAACAGGAGAGGTTTCCACAGAGACGTCTCTTCAGCTCATCGATTCTAACACATAAAAAAGTGAAACAGAAGGATGAGGACAAAGTTCACTCTGCTCTCATCTTCCTCAGAGACCTTCACAGTGTGAACATAATGAAAGTGATTTATTCCACGTAAACACGTTAACTTTACAGACAGATGGACTCCCTGGTCCTCAAACACGTTATAATAACTTTACAGCCGAAACATTAGAGGAGTGTAACTTCCTCCTAAATCTGAATATTTGAAGTTTGAAGGGATGAACAGCTGCTCCTGTGAAATATTTAAACAGTAAAATTCCTGTTTCTATGAAATTGAACCTTTTGAAGTTCATGTATTTTAAAACTCGTTCCTGTTTAGATGGCGGCGTTGGGGTAGATCAGAGTTTTCTTAGTTTCTTTTGTTCCTCTGCCGTGTAAAGAACTTTTTGCAACATTGTTTTTGTATAAAAAGTACAAATAAAAACTGATTGATTGATTGATTGATTGATTAAATTCTCTGTCTGTAGTTTCCTGTGTCTGGTTCCTGATGAGGCCAAGTCTTCGTATCAGGTCGAGGGGACAGGATACGACACCTACCTCAGAGACGCACACAGACAGGTACAGACTACGACGCTCCATCTTTAGAGTCTGATTCAGAGGTTCGTCTCTCACTGTCGACACTCTTCAGTTCAGGGACTTCTGCAGCGTCTGTCAGCGCTGGGACTGGAGGGGGAACCCAAAACCGTTTGAGAAGTGTAACCTGGACATCCCGTTCTTTGAGGGACATTTCCTGAAGGTCCTGTTCGACAGGATGGGTCGCATCCTGGACCAGGTGGGTTGGAGGATGTAAGGGGTTAGATTCAGTACCGAACCCCGAATTAAAGCTTCATTTTAGTTTGTGGAAACCTTTGAATCAGCCTCCCTCACATTAACCAAGATCTCTGCATGAACATGAGATCAGGAGTGGATTTCAGATCCTCCCAAGCTGCTGAAAGTTCAGCCTCTCCTGACAGCGCTCAGTTTAAAGTCATAAACAGGAAGTCAAAAAGAATGACCTGCAGCTGTGATCTTAGCAGACGACTGATGGGTGGTCTTCAGTGAGGTCAAGTTCATGTGAGGAGGAGGAGTACGAGGTTGTGTTTCGAAGGTCTCCATGTTCGGTGTTGAACTTGTTGTCCTGTCCGTCTTCAGCCCTACGACGTGAACCTTCAGGTGACAGCTGTGCTCTCCAAGCTCTCTCTGTTACCACACCCTCACCTTCACGAGTACCTGCTGGACCCCTACATCAACCTGGCCCCCGGCTGCAGGTCTCTGTTCTCTGTCATCGTCAGGGTGAGGCCTCTCTAAGTTCTACAACTATAAAGTGT